TCTGTCTTTGTTCCAGTACCACGCTGTTTTAATTATTACTGCTTTGTAGTAGAGTTTGAGGTTCGGGAGGTAAATTTCTCCCATTTTCTTTTCCCCAAGAACTGCTTTAGCTATTCGAGGGGGCTTATTGTTCCATATAAATTTCAGGAGTGTTTGCACCATTTCTTTGAAGAATGTCATGGGTATTCTAATAGGGATCGCATTGAATTTGTACAGTGCTTTGGGAAGTATTACCATTTTGACAATATTAATTCTCCCAATCCATGAACAGGGGACATTTTTCCATTTCCTAACGGCCTCTTTTATTTCAAAAAGCAGCGTTTTGTAGTTTTCTTTGTATAGGTCCTTTACTTCCTTAGTTAAACTAATTCTTAGGTAGTTGATTTTCTGATGTACAATTGTGAATGGGATTGTTTTCTTCTCTCTCACTATTTGCGTATAGGAAAGCCATGGACTTTTGGGTATTGATTTTATAGCCTGCAATTTTACTATACAAGTCTATCGTTTCTAGGAGTTTCTTGGTAGAGGTTTTAGGGTTCTCTAAGTATAGTATCATATCATCTGCGAATAGTGAGAGCTTGATTTCTTCCTTTCTTATTTGGATGCCCATCATCTCTTTTTCTTGCCTAATCGCTATTGCTAGTATTTCCAGTACTATGTTGAACAGTAGTGGAGACAATGGGCATCCTTGTCTCAACCCTGATCTTAGGGGGAAGGCTCTCAGTTTTTCCCCATTAAGGATGATGCTTGCTGTAGGCTTGTGGTAGATGGCTTTAACTATATTGAGGAAAGTCCCCTCTATCCCCATTTTGGCAAGGGTTTTCATCATAAACGGGTGCTGGATCTTGTCAAATGCTTTCTCTGCATCTATTGATATGATCATATGATTTTTATCTTTTCTTTCGTTGATATGATGGATTATGTTGATTAATTTCCAAATGTTAAACCATCCTTGCATCCCCGGGGTGAATCCCACTTGGTCATGGTGTATGATCTTTTTGATGAGTTCTTGAATTCTATTTGCTAGTATTTTTTTCAGAATCTTCGCATCCATGTTCATCAGGGATATCGGCCTGTAGTTTTCTTTTTTTGTGGTGTCTTTGTTTCCTTTTGGTATTAGAGAGATACGGGCTTCATTGAAACCGTTTGGGAGAGTTTCTGTTTTTTCAATTTCCTGGAAAAGCTTGAGAAGAACTGGCAGTAGGTCCTCTTTAAATGTTTGGAAAAATTCTCTAGTGAATTGATCTGGACCTGGGCTTTTGTTTTTGGGAAGACTTTTGATTACAGTTTCAATTTCCTTGATGTTAATAGGCCTATTCAGGTATTCCATATCTTCTTGACTCCACTTGGGGAGATTATAGGAATCTAGGAATTTATCCATTTCTTCTAGATTGTCTTGTTTCATGGCATACAGACTTTTAAAGTAGTCTCTGATGATCTTTTGAATTTCTTTGGTTTCCGTTGGGATATCCCCATTCTCATTTCTTATTCAGTTTATTAGGGTTCTCTCTCTCTGTTTCTTTGTGAGTGTTGCTAGTGGTTTATCTATCTTATTTATTTTCTCGAAGAACTAACTCTTAGTTTCATTGATCTTTAGGATTGTTTCTTTGGTTTCCATGTCGTTGATTTCTGGTCTAAGTTTTATGATCTCTTTCCTTCTGCCTATTTTGGGCTCCTTCTGTTGATCCTTTTCTAGGATCTTGAGCTGTGAAGTCAAGTTGTTCATGTGCATCCTTTCTTCCATCTTGAGGTATGCTTGAGAGCTATAAATTTTCCCCTTAATACGACTTTCACTGCATCCCATAAATTCTGGTAGCTCGTGTCTTCATTCTCATTTGTTTCCAAGTACCTTTTGATTTAGTCCTTGACTTCGCTCCTGACCCACTCGTTGTTCAGCAGTGAGTTGTTTAGTTTCCAGGTGTTTGATTTGGTTCTTCGTGTCTGTGTGTGATTCACTTCTATCCTCAGTGCATCATGGTCTGAAAAGATTGTTGACACTATTTCTATCTTCCTGATTCTATTGAGGTATGTTTTGTGGCCTAGCACATGGTCTATTTTGGAAAAAGTTCCGTGCGCACTGGAGAAGAATGTGTATTCTTTCTTTTTGGGGTGTAAAGCCCTGTATAGGTCGATAAGTCCTTTCTCTTCTATTTCTTCATTCAAAGCCAATGTTTCCTTGGGCAGTTACAATTTTAATTAAGAGTTTTAATTACCTTGATAAACAGTATAAACTTTATCCTACAGGTAATAGATACTCATTAAAAGGTAATATTTCTAGGAATCGAATAACTTTCAATTTTAGAAAGTTCATCCTCTGCAGTTTAGAAAGGGTATAAAGTTGAGGCAGAATTTCTTATGAGAAAGTTGGTGTATTGGTCATATTCATGAAGCAAGGAATCTGTACCAGAAGAATGTCAAGAGGAATTAAGACATACTTAACATTAGTCAGTGAATTAAATGTTTAGGCTGAAGGAAGCAATGGAAGATGTGCACCATATTTTCAGCCTTAGTCCCTGAGTAGGTTGTGGCAAAACTGTATTTTAAAAAAGGTGTGGGGGCTGGGGCTGGAGCTATAACATCGTGGGTAGGGCTTTTGCCTATCACGTGGCCGACCAGGGTTCAATTCCCAGCATCCCACATGCTCCCCTGAGCACCACCAGGAGTAATTCCTGAGTGCATCAGCCAGGAGTAACCTATGCATTGCCAGGTGTGACAAAGAAAGAAAGAAAGAAAGAAAGAAAGAAAGAAAGAAAGAAAGAAAGAAAGGAAGGAAGGAAGGAAGGAAGGAAGAAAGAAAGAGTGTGGGGACAAGTTGGGCCACACCTGAATGTGATCAGGGATTAATCCTGGCTCTGTGCTCAGGGGTCACTCTTGATAATGCTCAAGGGACCATACATGGTACCAGGAATTGAACCAGAGTTGGATGCATGCAAGCAAGCACCGTAACCTCTATGCTGTCTCTCTGGCTCTAAGTTATAATAAAATTAGCTAAGGTACAAACATGGAAGAACATTAAGGAAAATATTAACTTAAACTTCTTTATATTTAGAAGATTTTAAGATTAAGCTCATAAGTATATTTTTCTTTATCCAAATTTGTTCGTGTATATTTACATTTATTTTAAGAATTTAAAAGAGAATTCTCTTTTAATCACTTATACATAATTGAAAATTTTGACTTTATTATTAAATAGAAATGTATCTCAAAAAGAAGCATTAATATCCTATATGTTCATATTTTACTTTAATTCTGATGATTAAATTCAATATATAGGGGCCAGAACTATAGTACAGCAGGTAGGGTGCCTTCCATGATGCTGACCTGGTTCGATCTCCGATACTCCATATCCTCCCCACAAGGAGTGATCTCTGAATACAAAGCCAGAATAAGCCTTGAGCATTGCTGGGTGTGGTGTCCCCATGTCCCCTAAAACCGCACAAAACTAAATTCTCTAAAAATTTACTTATGTTTTATAAAGACCTGAAAGTTGACATTTGATTTTTTTAAATTATAGTTTAGAAATAGGGTTGCAATAGTGCTTAAGTTTATGGCATTGTTGCATAAAGTTACTATACACCATAACCCAAGTGTCCATGACCCTCCACAATTGTCCCTATGCCAACTCTGGTCTAGTCTTCTTCCCCCCATGCCCATTCCCCCATTATTTGTTTGTTGAGAGTTATAGTGTTGATGCATACTGTTACTTCCTTTAGCCATCACACTTATGTTCCATACACTCCACTTACGCTCCCGTGTTAAGTTCAGTCAACCTAATCATTTACCTCTATCCACTGCCCATCCCCAGCCTGGCACCCTCGGGTATGTGGTCCAGTTTTCAAGGATTATTATAGGTTGATATTACCCATACCCTTGATATTGCAGGTGAGTGAGATCATCCTGTATTTATCCTTCTGCCTCTAGCTTATTTCACTCATCATGGCAAGCTTCAATTCTATCCAAGTTGCTGCAAACTACATTCAAAATGGATCAAAGACCTAGAGGTTAGACCATAAATTATAAAATACATTGAGAAAAACATAAGCAGAAACCTCCAGACTCTCAACCTCAAAAGTGTCTTTAATTACCTGTTTCCACTGGCAAAGACAAAAAAATAAAAGTAAGCAAGTGAAACTATACAAAGTTTAATTTTTTTTGCATGGAAATTTTCCCTTACTTATGGGAATAGATATTTACATACAGAACTTTAGAGCACTAATATCCAAAATATATAAATCACTCACAAAGCTCAGGAACAAAAAGTTCAATAACCATGCAAAAATGGTAAGAAAAGATAAATAGATATTTCCATGAAGAGGACCTTCCATGAAGGATGACCAATAATCATATGAAAAAGCTTTTATTATCCCTTAGTGCTAGGAAAACACAAATCAAAACAACAGTGAGGTATCACCTCACACCAGTGAGTATGTTTAAAATATAAACAAGTGTTGAAGAGGGTGTGGTGAAAAAGGAAGCCAAATTCTCTCTTGTCATCTGGGCCAGCCTCTATGGAAAACAATATAGAGATTTGACCCAGCTATCCCACTTCTAGATGTCAACCCCAAAACACAAAAAATTATTTTGAAAAAAATATAGATATCAAGGAGCGATAGCACAGCGGGTAGGGCGCTTGCCTTACAAGCGGCCAACATGGCCGACCCGAGTTCGATTCCTCCGCCCCTCTCGGAGAGCCCGGCAAGCTACCGAGAGTATTGGATATGCCAGACACAGTAACAACAAAGTCTCCAATGGAGACGTTACTGGGCCCGCTCGAGCAAATCGACGATCAACGGGAGGGCCTTTACCTTTTACCTTTTATTAAAGATGGTTTATTAAGATATGAAAGCAACCCAAATGTCCAATAACAGAGGAATGTAGAAAACTTTGTTATACACACAGGACACACACAAACACACACACAATGAATACTTACAGCTACAATAACAAATTTCTGTTCTTTCTTTCTTTCTTTTTTTCTTTTCTTTTTTTTTTTTTTTAAGAAAAGCAATGTAGCATTTAATGATCTTTCTTTTAGTTTACTTCAAGCTACCAGGACACAGGTCTCTCCCACTCCCTTCATCTTCTCCTCAGCTCTTCTGCTGAAGAATTTGGCTTTCACGATGACAGGCTGCTTTGGGAGCTTTCCCTTCCCCAGAACTTTGTAATAGCCCAATAGCACCACATCAATAATAGCTGCTGTCCCAGTCTTGTTTTTGTCAGCATTCACTAACCGTGTCTGCTCACTGACCAAGGTCCACAGTTTGTCAAGATTGATAGTTGGGCAGAAGCTTTGATTTCTCTTTAAGTGATAATGCCTCATAACCACTTTCCCCAAGTACCCTGAATGGTATTTGTCAAAGTTGATCCTGTGGTGATGCATGCCACCAGTGCTATCCCGACCTCCAGGGTGCTTCTGCTGTTTGCAGATGTGGTGGTGGCCGTGGCTCACATGGCCCCTGAGTTTTTGGGTCTTTCTCAGTCTGGACTGCATGTTGGCTGGCAAGACGAAAGAGCACAAATTTCTTTTAAAACTTTTATTTATTTTTATTATGTAAGAACATGTAATATTAGATAAACTAGCTTAAAATTTTAAGAACATTATTAAAATACAGTATTATTAGCTACACGCACTGTGTTGTACAGCCCATCACTAGGGTTCATTTATCTTGCTTAACTAAAACTTTATGCTTGACAACTTTATGATCAACAACTCACCAACTTCTTCCCAGCCCTTGGAAATCATAATTTCACTCTTAAGTTCTAAAAATTTAACTATTTTGATTATAAAAATACTCATATAACTGAAATCATCTTATAAGGGGAATCATGAGATATTTGAAATAAAGATGATACAAAAGACATTTACACATATATCCCTTACAAAATTATTCACAATAGCCAAAATATAGAAATAACTAAAATGTTCATTGATAAGCTAATATCTATAGACAGGTGAATGGATATAGTATGTGGAATGTAAATACAATGGAATTCAGCATTTAAAAAAAGAAAATTCTGGGGCTGGAGCAATAGAATAGTGGGTAGGGCATTTACCTTGTACATAGCCTATCCTGTTTTGATCCCTAAGGGCTCCCAGGGGTGAACCCTGAGTATAAAGTCAAGGATAAGCCTTGAGCACCACCAGATTTGACCCCAAACCCCTATTCTCTCCCCAAATTCTGTAACATGAGGTAATGTGAAAAGACTTGAAGAAATTTTGCTAAAGAAATAATCCAGTTTCAACTTCTTATAGGATACTTTTCACTAAGTGAAACTGTACACTTTCTAGTTAGTCCTTATATTTATGGCTATTCAACTGGTGTACAATAATAATTAGACAAAATCAACATAAACCCTAAAATTAAGGAGGCAACCAATATATTTTTTGGAAAATAAAGTATGTTACTTTTTTTTCCTCTTGAAATTACATTTACTTAAGAAATCAGGGAACAGTGGTAGTTGTTTAGAAACATATTAGCATATCATTATCAAAACAGGAACAGAAGACTATAAACAAAACTGAGGAAGGCAGGCTTAATATTAACCTGAGGATCAGGAATGTTTTCTAAGAGGAAATAATGAAATCTCAGTGGATACCTTGGTGTATTAAATTAAATATTAAAGACCAAGAGAGACAGGTAAAAAAGATAAAATATGTTCTCGACTCTAACCAATCTTCAGAGAGGGGAGGAATGGGTCAGATGCCAACCAATCAAAAATTATGACTTTCTATATCCAGAAGACAGAAAACTATTGAAAAACATCTTGTTACAGCGACAAATAAAGGGAAAAAATGGTACTTCAAATATTAGGAGAGGTACACAAAATGGTTGCACAATAATGTGCTGAACTTAATGGAAAAAGATGAGGAAGATCATTCTAAGACGCTCAGAGAATTATTAGGTAACTTAGAATAAACAATGAATAAGCAGAAACTAAGGGCCCACAAGAAGGAAGATAATTCAAGTTAAAGATCACATAGTTGATTGGTAATAACAATAGCAGCACAAGAAGAAAAAGAAATTAGTCACTGTTAAGATGCAGAATTGACTTTTCATATTCTTACCACGAAACAACTCATTTCCCAAAATGTCTTTTATTACCCATGAAGTCCACATAATAGGGTCCTTCCTGTACATGAAATGTATCTGCCTTGTTAATAAAAATATGCATATAATTCCCTCAATATTTGATGTAACCTAAGATCATATTCTCTCTGTGGGCATAATCAGTTAATGTACATCCACTTCTAACATCTCTAAGACATTAATTGCATCATTTCAAGAAGAATTACCTTATTACCTATATGAATAAATACTGTAACTCATACTGTTCATCTTCTTTACCCTCAGATTGAGGAGGTTGAACAACAACTTTATCACACTGCTTACATGTTCTGCCTGTCAATGAAAATTCTCAACTCTTAGAGCTGGGGAGATAGTGCAGTGGATAAGGTACTTGCTTCTCATGTGACTGATCTGGGTTCTATCCTCATTACCACATATGATCTCCTAAGTACTGCCAGGAGTGACCCTGCCACGGAGCCAAGATTAATCCCTGAGTACTATGTAGCTGTTAGAAAAGATGAAGTCATGAAATTTACATACAAGTGGTACTACATGGAAAGTATCATGTTAAGCGAAATGAGTCAGAAAGAGCAGGATAGACACAGAAATATTGCATTCATCTGGGGAACATAAAGCAACAAAATGGGAGACTAACACCCAGGAGTGGCTGAGATTAGTACCAGGAATTTTGCTCCATGACTTGGAGGCCAGCCACACGTGCTAGAGAAAAAGGCAGCTCAGATAGAGAAGGGAGCACCAAATAAAGGGTGTTGGGAGGATCCTCCCAGGGTGGGAGAAGCATGCTGAAAGTAGACTATAGACCAAACATGATTGCCACTCAATGCCTCTCTTGCAAACCACAGGACCCAAAAGGAGAGAGAGAACAAAAGGGAATGCCCTGACACAGAGGAAGGGTGGGATGGGGGGGATAGGGGGTGGGAGGGATGCTGGGACCCGTGGTGGTGGAGGATGGGTGCTGGTGGGTACTTGATCATTGTATAACTGAAACCCAAGCACAAAAATTTGTAAGTATATAACTGTACCACATGGTGTTTCACTAATAAAAAAATAAATAAATAAAAAGATTAATCCCTGAGCACTTTCAGGCATGCACCCCTTCTCTCCTGAACCAAAATAATGATAATAATAAATAAATAAATAAATAAATAAAACTTCAATTCTTTCCTCTCCCCTTTGCTCATTAGATATGTATTTATTGGAATCAACAATGAAAAAACCTGAGCCAGAGATGTGGCTCAAGAGATAGAGATCACATTTGAGGCCTTGCGTTGTGTCCCAGACATGTCATGCACCCTGTCACCTGCCGCCAGCATCACTGGGTGTGACTCTGGCCCTGGAGCACTAGCAGCAAGTGTGGGTCCCCTACAATGAAAACAATGACCATAACCTGAAAACTTTATATTGTTACTGAGCATTTTATGTGCAACTCAATATTCAATGCACTGGAAATGTCAAAGAGAACAAGATCAGTATCAAAGCATCTCCTGCCTAAACTACAGAAGAAGTTTAGCATCTAATGAATGACATGGAACATGAAAGGCTTATTTATCACCTATGAATGAGAAGGTGGTGGAACTATTCATTGTCTCTGCAAAGCTTTCCCTTGCCTTCCACCCTTCGTAGGCAGAAATAAAGGAGAGAACTTAGTCCTTCACACAAGGCTTTCTGTGTTGAGTAACACTAGTAATTTCAGCCAACACAAAAGGCCAGGCCTTCAGGAGACCTACCAATCCAAACCTCAATCCCCTGGTGGCTCTGCCTTTAACCTCAGCTCCATTCCCAACACCTCAAACCCTTCAGATGTCCCCTCAGGACATCCAAACCATTATTATTAAAACCTCCCAAATCCCCAATATATTTCCAAGAACATTAGAACATTTCCGTCACCTTTGTTGCAGAAGAATTGTTTCCAATCAACATCTGCCTCTTGCCATAGGCATTTGCTCTCTCTGCAGCCCTCAGGGATGGTGACTTCTTATCTGAGCCTCGGGGTAGGGAGTGGGTCCTGCTTTTCCTTTCTTCTCCCCACATGCAACTTGTCTGTACAAAGCTCCTCTGCCCATTCTGCTCTCTCCCCTTTAAAGCTTTTTCAGAACTCTAGCCCTACTAAAGCCCTTAATGGGAGCAATTAGAAGAGAACACCCACAAATATTTTACATTTACCTGCCAGATTACATCTGAGCCACTATCTTTATTTCTGTCACTGTTGACAAACTGTTTCTGCTCTTATCAAAAAGTGTCTAAGTGTTTCAAGAGTTTTGCTCCCACAGCATTTATTTTGCGGTGTTCCTCAGCAGCTGTACATGTTACTATTTTCCTTTTCTGTCTAACAACTTCCTTCTTGGCCCTACTTCCCCCTTTAGCTCCTTCCTTATTTCTCCACTCCTTTTTCCCCCCCTTTGGTGAAACAAAGTAGTTTTGTGGGTTTTTTGCATTGAAGCTTACTTAGAAAGAAGTGAGAGGAGAGAGGGAGAGAGGAAATGTGTTCAAGAGAGAATACAAGCAAGCAAAGAAACAGAAGCAAGCAAGTGACAGGAGGGAGAACACAGGCTGGAAGAGCAGGTATCTTCACTCTTTTTAATACAATATATTCTGTCAGTTATATGCCAAAAACAGTGACAACAAGTCTCACAATGGAGACCTTACTGGTGCCTGCTTGAGCAAATTGATGAACAGCAGGAGGACAGTGCTACATTCTGTCAGTAATTGCTCTCCTCTTGTGTTTATTATAATCCAGGGTGTTCTTTTTTTCTTTATTGAATTATCCACAATGAACTACAAAGCTACAAAGACATTTATAATATCATTTAGTTTTAGGTGCACCATGATCCAACACCAAAGGAATTTTCTTCTTAACATTTCATGGTAACGATCCTTTTGAAAATCACCATTGGCCTCTAGGTAGCTAAATCCAATGGTTCATTAATAATCTTCATCTTGTTTTATCTATCATCAATATGTGGCACATTTGAGTACAACCTGTGATGTTTTCTTCGCTCGATTTTGAGAATGTCATATGAAATTTTTATACTATTTCAACAGACTCTTCTTATTTTTTACTAATTTTTTTCCCACACCTGGCTGTGCTTAGGGCTTACCTCTGGCTATGCACTCAGGAATCACTCCTGGCAGGCTCAGAGGACCATATGGGGTGATGGGGATTGAACTCAGGTCAACCATGTACAAGGAAAATGCCCTAGCCACTGTATTCCCACTGGGGCACTACACTCTCGTGAATAGAGTTCAGTGTCCTTACTCTAAGTACTCTAGTCACGTTGGACTAATATTCTTCTCAAATTTGCTCATTCCCTAGATCATCTCACCGAATAGTTTGAATTTAAATGGCATTTACATGCAGAAGATTCATAAATTCATATCTGTAGTCCAGACATAGTAGACGAAC